TAACAAATTGTCTCCATTCACGATTTTGCTTGCCAGCAGAAGACTCACATCGTGTAAAAGTGTAAATTACTTTATCATCCAGATCTCAACTGGATCGAATATGTCAAACCGCCAATTATATCTTTGCACTGTCGGTTCATTCATTACAAGCATTTAATCGCACCTAATTAAGACGGTCTTCTATTATTGCTTAATTCAATTGTTGTAACTTGCATAACATGCGAGAGCTTTAATGGAATATTTCACTTTAAAGAGGTTTATCTTTGTTAAGTACGTCTGTGACCCAATATTCTAATATAAATTGGCCGAACGCTTGCACCAAACATATTTTATTCCCGTACACCGAGTTGTGTGATTCATAAACGTAGGTCATTTCATAAAAGAGTTCAAATGCAAAAAATTTCGCCGTTTTCATCACCACCCACATCACAATTTCTCAATAATATTCTAATCAAACGGAGCACCGCAATACAGTCATTGTGACGATGCTTCATCAGAGCGAGTGTGATTGGATTTGTTCATTTGATTTTTCTGTCTCATACAATGAATACAAGACAACTACTTGGATAAACTATGTGCACTTATTCAAGTGCCTTAATTAAAACTATTTTTATGTGAAGCAATGCATTTTATCAACACTGATCTTTTATCATGAAATTCGTTTGAGGTATGTGGAGTCTATTTTTTGCTTTGCTTTGCGTAATTGAGGTTATTAATTAACATCTCATTGTGAAGAGTGTAAAAGTCACTTTATTTATGGATTTCAGCGACTTGAACAGTTTATATGAACTCGATCACGTTTTAAGTCAACCAGAATGCGATGAAAGTAGAGAACTATTACAAAGATTTTGGGGTATGAATCATATTTCGCTTTAGATGAAGTACTGCTGTACGAGCCATATCATTTATCGTGGATTAAAGTCAAAATTACCTTTTAATCAATATTCATCAAAGATTTTGTTGGTAGACAAGAAGATCTCTTGTTGAATGTTACTTGTACGATTTGTTTTGTTCTATTATCAGAGAATTCCAATATGATTTCCAATATGCAAAGTCATAAATTGTCGATTTTTTTTGTAGTCGATTTATTTACAAAGAAGAAAAATTAAATGAAATAAGATAAAATCTATGTAAAAACTACTTTGATTAACAAAGGGTGGATTCCATTTAAACGTGAAGAACAAACGCGAAGTAAGTGAAAAGTTACGTAGAATGCATTTTTTATTGCTGATCATTATTTTTATGCAAATAATATTAACTAATTGGACTGTTGTTCATTATGTGGCCAAACGATTGATTCGATCCATCCCAAATAATATGCAACTCGAGTATAAATACCAAGCCCGCCACAACCATTACCAGACGAAACGATTCCAACTACTGTGGTTATGTTTGAATCACTATTGAAGTATTGAAGAGGACCTCCACTATCTCCTTCACAAGCATCATTTTTCCCTAGCGGATCATATGCACAATAGTGCCTTTCGTTAATCCCTTCTCGCCAATAAAGTTTTATTGTTTCATTGCATTCGGACAGCGGCATCATTTTCAGTTTGGTCTTGAGTAGATAGTTCGATTTCTCTAGAATTGGAAAATAATGAATTTAAAGCGGATTATTTTTGTATCGCAGAAAAATCGACTGACAAGACTGGATTTGCATTTGGCTCAATTTATCGATCCAACTTACTATTAGATTCAGTTTTACCCCAGCCGGGTAGAGTAAGATCTTCTTCAAAGTTTATATCATATTCCGGCATATGCAAGCACACTGGTCTAATTTCAGTTGTAAACGAAATAGAGTTCTTCACTCTAATTAATGCGATATCATTTTTTAGGCGCGAATAATCTGGATGACGAACAATTTTCTGCGGAACAATAATATAATTAATTTAGTATACAAAGTAGAAAAATATAGTTTTGTATACGAATTTCACCTGTATTTCATAATTTGTGGTATCAATGTCATCAGTCAAATCAATCTACATGTATGTGAAATGTTCTTCATTTAAATAGTTCTCAAAGATGAACTCACTTTTCCCAATCTACTTACTTTTCCCAACTTAACCAAAATCGGAGAACGATTTGGGGTCGCACAGTGTCCAGCTGTCAAGACGAAATATGCTGATATGATTGTTCCGCCACAGTCATAAGTAATCCCACCTGGATTAATATTGATATATCCCAGAGCAGCCTATTTTAAAGGTGAAAAATCACAAGACAAATCGAAAAAATGTGGAAAATTACAAAATTTAATTTTATGAATTCAAATTAACTTGCCATCCAAGGAAATTCGCCTCTTTTAGCTATTACACCACCGTAAATTCGTGGAGTAAATTCAGTTCGTTGAGGGATTTGCATTGGGAGATTCGAATAATTTGTGCAAGCTTATTTCAAGATGAAAAACATATGTAGCGGTGAATTGGAAAGATTATTGCTTTTCATTGAAAATTCAATAGGAATCTATTACTCACCCAAATGAGCCGTCTTGTGTAATTCATTCCATCTGTTCAAATATGTTTGAAAATATACGATTTGAGACAGAAAATATGGCGTTTCAGTTATTGAATTTGTTAAATGGTTATAACCTTGGTATACCAATAAACTTTTACTCACACAACTGGTGAATGACTTGAAGTATTTGTAGCCTGAACTTCTGGGAGAAATGGAAGATTTTCAGAAACATTTTCGGAACCAACTGTTGTAGGAGTTGAAAAAAATGTATCAACAACATTCACTAAATGTATATTTGGTACTGTTGCTCCGTTCGACACATGATTAGAGAGATTTTGTTTCTTATTTAGGTGATTTTGTGTAATCTTACCACTTTCTAAAGGACAATTCTTTTCAGTTTCGTCTGAATTATCGATACAATCCAAGAGTCCATCTAGGAAAAAACACATTTGGATTACATTGATTTACATTGATTTGTGCTTATAAATTCACTCATCTTTGGCTACTACTTACCACATTTGAATTCTGCATTAATACATTTTCCGTTATCACATTGCCATTCATCTGCACTACAAGCACCCGGCGTTGATGGTGTTGGAGCTGCAGAAGTAATATACTCTGATGAAATCAATGTAAATTCAAAACAAATAAACAGGAAA